ATTTCAGATGCCCATTTTTGAATTGGGTCTTTGAATTTGGGGGGTCTGATTTCTTTCAGTTCTTTATATATTCTAGATAGTGGTCCTTTGTCTAAGGTACAGCTACTAAATTTTTTCCCCACATTGTAGGTCGTCTCTTAGCTCTGTTGGTGGTTTCTCTTGTACTGCAGCTTTTTAATAAGATGAGATCCCAGTTGTTGATTCTTTGTGCTAATTCGTTCCCATGTTACTGAGGTTTATGATTACAAATCTTAAATGATCTAAAATATTTTTATTGAAAGCAAAAAACCCATTTCAATGCCAATGAAACCAATTTCAATGCCAGATATTTGAAGGTACAGTAGACTCAATGGTAGCAGCCATTTTCAGATGGATTCAGGTGTGCCACCTAGGACCTCTGGCTTCCCTTCCTGCTACCCCACATGGTGTGGCTCAACAGCAGCTCATGTCAGTGTACTGGAGCCATTTTGTGTGCTACTGTATTTACTTCACCGTGTTTCTTTGCGATGTCAAGGTCATCTTTGGACTTGGATTTCATTAGCCCTTTCCCTCTGCTTGCCTTCTTTGTCTCCTCTTTGCCTATATGTCCCTCCCCTATTGTTTTGGTCAGCAGGGTGGAAGGGATGGTAGGCTTGCAGGGTCAGTCATTGTGTTTGCTTCTCCCCAGGCTTCTGTGGGGTGGTCATTTCAACCTCATTTGAGACGAGGAAAGGGAGGCACAAATTGTAAAAGCCATGGCCTGGACAAGACTGTTAAGACTGGCCTGGGCAAGCTGGGTGTGTGTTGGGAGCAGACATGGTGCTGGTTGTCCAGGCTGAGTGCCAGCTTCCCTCCTATAGGCTGCCTCACACCACTCCAAGTCCCGTGGCTTATTTCAAGGGAGGAGAGTCCTATCTTTCAGGGCTGGAACAAGGATTGGGTCGGTCCATTATTTGTCACACACTGAGGACCATACCTGGCACCGCACAAGTGCACTGGAAGTGTTTTCAAGGTAATAAGCTAAAGCCTATCAGTCTCCCTAGAAGGTAATGCTGCAATTTCAGGCCTGCTTTTTCTTTCTTGTCCCTCCACATCTCCACCCCCCATTACAGCAGTAAATTGGACCAACCCTAAACCATAAACAGGAACAGAGATTTAGCTGATCAGGAACCCGTAGACCTCCCCTCACCCTTAGACACCTCTTGTCCATAGCCGTTCTCAGGAGGTGTACCTTTCGGTTCGGTCAGCCCGGAGCTCCCTAGTGGCACTCCGTGGATATCCAAGCAACAAGTCTACACTGCAGCAAGCCTGCAGCCCCCAACCTGGATGAGGCCTGCCTGTCCCCTAATACCTTCCTCCCCACCCTGCAACAGCCCGGGCACCCAGTGTTTCCCCCTTTGTTGTACCCTAACATCGCTCCCATTTATGTCACCCTATCCTGCCATCTCAGGAAAACCTTCCGCTATCATCAGTTGTGCTCTTAGGCAAATCACAAGGCAGCTCAAGGAGGGTGGCCGAGGAAGGGTTTAAGGGACTGTTGGGAGGGAGCAGGCGGGGTCTGGAAACCAAACGGAATGGGTCGGCTTCTACCATCCCCGGCTCGGGGGTCGGATGGGGCGAGAGCAGACGGCCACCTTCCGGGGTCCCCAGGAGAGTGGGCCCCGACACCTGCAGCCCTGGCCGAGTGGGCTGGGGGATAACACCCCTCTTCTCTCCCTCCGGCGCTCTGCCCTCCTGCCTACTTCCCAGGGGCACAACCAGGCACAGGGGAACCTCCAGGAGAAAGCGAGGGTGGGGGGTGGGGGGGTGGGATTAACAGAATGCAACAGCTCTTTCGCTTCCTAAGCCCTGACCTCTCTTTTAACAGGTACGGAGCTCTACTGTGAAGTCTTTCGATTTGCATGTTTATTGTCCTTGCGCCCTTCCTCCCACCATGTGAACACCCTTAGGGCAAAGACAGAGTTGACCCCCCCACCCCCATGTGCAGGTCCCCAGCGCCCTGCTCCGTGGCCAGCGCACAGTAGGTCTCTAATAAATACTGGTTGAATAATCAAACCGGGTAGCCTGCGGGACTGTTTCTTTTTTCCTTCCTTACAGAAAGACCAGATGCCCGAACACTTGCGGCCCCCAATCCTCGGCGGGAGGAACGTCAGGTGCCCGCGTGCCCCGCTGCCGCAGCGTGGGCTCCCTGGACCCGTGACCGGCCCGCGCGCGTCGCCAGGTGCGGCTCGGTCGTTCCGCCTCTCGGCTGCTGGCCTGGCGCGGGGCCGTGCGGGGTGGCCGGCCGCGTCCCTCTCCGGGTCCCGGTCCCGGGCGAGCCGCGAGGGAGACACCCCGCGCCAGGTTATTTTTAGTCGGTAGCCGAGTTCCCCACCCCCGGGGGAGGGAGGGGCGGAGAAGGGGGGGGGAGAGGGAGGTCCCGGCGCCTCCGCGCTCGCTCCCGCTGGGCACTCGCGGCGCAGCCGGCCCGGGCGGCGCTGGGGACAGCGGCCGCAGCGTCCTCCCTCCGGCCGTGCGCGCGGCTCAGCTCCGAGACTGCGCCCGCGGGGTGGGGAGCGGTGAGGGGACCGCGGCGCGCGGGAAGGGGCGGGCAGCGCGCTCCTGCGGCGGCCGCGGCGGCTGTGCTCATCCCGGCGGCGGCGGCCCAGCGCTCGAGTGGACGCGCGGCTTCGCAAATGGCTTGTCCCGCGCTCGGTCTGGAAGCTCTGCAGCCCCTGCAGCCCGACCCGCCCCCCGAGCCCGCCTTCTCCGAGGCGCAGAAGTGGATCGAGGTAGGTGCCGGTGGCTGGCGGGAGGCCTTGCAGGGGCGCCCGGAGCGACTCCCCCTCGTGCAGTCCGCAGGTCCCCCCGCCCCTCTCCGCCTTTGCCAGCTGCTACGGGTCACCAACCAGGGCCTCGGACGAGCTGTGATCTCCTGGCATTCTGGCTTGAGGTTCCGAGAGGGTGGTCGCTGATGGAGGACACTGCAGTGTGGCCGTGCTCCTGCCTGGGGGCAGGAAGCGAGTCCCTGCTCCTTCATCCCTGTGGCTCGCCCGCCCCGCAAATCTCACTTTGCATCGCTACCGGGCTCTGCCAAGGGAAGCGCAGTGAGAGTAGAGCGCTGCAAAGGCGCAGGAAGCGCGAGCTCCCGAGTCCTTGCGGGCGCCGCATTTCGGGCTGTCCCACATTCCGCCTCCCGGCCTCCCTCCCTGCCCTTCCGGAGCGGAGCTGCCGGTGTCTCCACCGAGGTGCACAGCCGCTGGGTCCTCCTGCTGTAGTGCTGGCACCGGCTCAGGTGTGAGGCTGTCGAAGCGCTCAGGGTGGGGATAGCCTGCAGGACCCACCTGCGAGTGCATAAACGCTGCCTAGCCATGAGCAGCAGCCCTCGCCTCATCCCGGAGACGAAGGGTGGGTTCCGAGGGGCAGGGTGCCCAGCCCAGTTACGTATTTCACTCTTAAATGCCTCAGTGGCAGGCCAGGGAAATCACTGGAGCTCTGGCTCAGTACAGGAAGCGCTCGCTGGCTGATCTTGATTCACGATGACTATCTGAAGATGAGCTCGGTAGCCCTGGCCTTCTGAAATGACCTGTTGTGGGGGTCAGGACGCTCTGAGGATGGGAGGGGGAAGGCGACCCCCTGTGACCCATGCAAGGAGCCCCTGTTTTCAAGAGCAGACTTTGTTGGGCTTGGCAGAAAGTGACTGTGGCCCTCTTCGCCTGATCAGTGAGAAAGGAGGACATATGCCACTAAGTCCTGACCAGCGACGATGGGGCTTCTTAGTCGGGGCTGGCACTTGGTGACACCCACCCCACCCCGGGCAAGGCAGATCTCAGATGTGGCCGGCGGTCACCGAGTACACGTTACAAACCAGGCTCGTGAGTGCCCCAAAGGGCTCCAGCCACAGGCCTGCACCTTTCGTGGTTAACCCGCTCTATGTAAAGCAGTGTTCCTCAGTTTAGGAGTACTGTGCCTATTTAAAAGGACCTGTTTAAAAGTAGAGTTGAAGAATCAGAAGAATGAACTCGGCCCTCTACTGCTAAAAGCCCAGGCATGTCTCTCATTTGATAGCTCACCACCAGAGGAGAACACAGCGTTGCCTTTTTGTGTTTGATACGTGGCCAGCAGGCTCAGAGCATGACAGGTGCTGCATACTTAGGCTCACAGGCTGCCCAGGAGACTGTGGCACTCACTGGCCTGTTGGAGAGTCAGGCGACTGTACTTCTGCAGGTTCTTGAACTTGAAAATTTTCAGGAGAGATTTTTGGATGTGAGAGGGGGTGAAGGAGGATATAAGAGCAGAATAGTCTTACTGTTCATGAGGGCAAGTGATTGGTCCCCAGTTTCCTTAATTGTGAGTAACCTTGGCATACTCAGCTTTAAAAAGTGTATCGTGTTATAAATTACATACAGGAAAGCGCACAAATCTAAAGCATGCACTTCCATGAATTTCAGCAGATGTATTTTCCTACAGCTCTCACCTAGATCAAGAGACAAAACATCCCCTAGTTTGGGTCTGTTTTTCAAGTGTTAGTATATTTCAGGTTAAACGCAATGCAGTACAGAGCATCAGCTTTTCATATGAGGTTTAAGGAAAGAAAGAAGAGGCTCCTTAAGAAAGTAGAGCCCCTTTAGGGCCCTAAAGACAATTTGATATTATTCTTGATACTTTGGGTTATACCAATTGAAGATTGTGGAATACCCTAATAGCGCTTGCGTGGCTGTAGGGCCGGGCAGCCAGGCGCGCTGTGTGTGCATTATTGAAGTGGCCTATCTCCTTTCAGTTTTGGAGTTTGATTTCATGGAAAGGAGAGTTCCCCTGCCCTCCCCCAGGCTATATAAAAAAGGTATTTGTGCCAGGGAAAGATAGAGACCTTCCCCTTCCTTCCCAGAGGTTCCTCTTGAAATGTAAATGCCTTGTCTGCAAACCCGGGGAAGCCAAGGGTAGTAACGGGTGGTTTTGCACGCAGTTGCCCTGTGAACAAAGTTTCCTTGGCTAATATAGCAATAATGTAGTACTTGGTGTGAGCTGAGTTCCTTGGGGATTCTTATTTGGAGACAATTGCATCTCCGTCAGGCTGCCTATTGTTTTTGGCAGCATCCTCATTGGTAGGGCTTTGTTTTTCACTTTTGTTCAGTTGTTGATTAAATTTCCCACAGGCTTTTTTTTCCTTTTCTGAGTAGTCAGGAATTTCACCCTTTCGGAAAAATGCTCCCTTGTGTGCAGCAGGTTAATAAACAAACTTTGCCACTTGTCTTTCTTCCTCAATACCTGGTCTTCCTTGAGTCAAGGGTTGGCAAGAAACTCTTCATTCTTAAAGCCTCAAGGAAAAAGCTGTAGGACATAACTTCTTAGGGAGGAATTTCTCAGCCTGCAGCCTTGGCAATTTGAGGAGTGTGTTACAGGGCAGGAAATGTGGCCTGGGAACAGGCTCCTACCTTATCCCACCCCCAACTCTGGCCTTTGCTGGCAAAGGTGAAAGCTGTAGTGGCCATTGACCATATGGGGACAAGTGGGTAACACTTCCAGTGACTTAATAGCTGTAAGAGCAGGCTGCAGTGTCTTCCTGTGGGTAAGAAAACTGCAAATTTTAAGTATGATTGGCTATGAGCAGACAGGGGCATGGATATCTTCCTTCCACAATCCTTTGCTAGAAAGTTCTCCTGATCAAGGGCCAGTTAAGTGCAGCATGGTGGCTAAGAGGTCCATCTTTGGAATTTGGCATCTTAGGTTTGAGCCCTGGGTTTGAGCAGCCTTGGGCAGGCTGCTTTTCCTGTTCTTATGGCTCCAAGTATTTTCTTTGAAAGATAGCCCTAGTTGTTAACAACAAAAATAACAAAGTGATGTTGTTGAAAATACCTGTAAAACAGGATATTGATAATAGCTCACCTACCTCACAGGAGTGCTGTGCGGATTTAGGTTGTTAATATATTTAAAATGCTTGGAATAGTGCCAAGTACTTAGGAAGCACTGTATAAACGATGTTGGTATTATTATTACCACTAATATTATTGCTATTATTCTTACTACTATCAATATTACTACCACTGTTATTACAACTGTTGTTCTTGTTGTTAATAACAACTAAGCTTAATTTTGAAAGAAATTCTTTAGAATCCTAAATTTCCAGGGTAGAAAATGTAATCCAATTACCAGTAGATTTGTCCTGTTATTTCACATTCATTCATTTAATCTTTCATCCGATGGAGCCTATGATCTATTTGCTGTTGCACTGAGATACACCCCCAGCCTATCTCCTCCTACTAACTCTGGATATTTGAACTAGAAGTAGATGCTACATATCACTCTAATTTGCAGTAAAGTGATTTGGGGACCAGAGGAAAACCTGTAATATCTCCTCATAAGATGATTCCACTAGTTCATCAAGGTTTAGGAAAGTTTCCTCCAATAGTATGTCGGACATTGAAGTTTATTATATAGTTTTCATTACTAAGTTCCAAGCTCAGTGCCCAATGCCTTTCTTCTTGTAGACAACCAATATTAAATTATTGTGCAAATAGTGTCCAGATATTCATCTCAAATGTAGCAGTGTTTTGTTCCCTGAAAATATGTCAAATTCTGCTAGGAAAAGGAGTAATTCCTCCATTGATTTTCCTTCCTCCTTCCTCCCTTCTTTTCTGAGTTACAGTTGTTTGTTAGTAGGTAGATGATTCTAACTTTCCTGGCTCCACCTCCCCTCAGTCTCTCCACCCATGACAATATTAATCAGTTCTAATCTGTGGTTCTTCTCTTCAGTGCCAAGCCCTTTCTGGAGGAACAGATGTCCCTTCAACGTGATTGCAGTTGTGATTTGGAACAAGTTGCCAAGCCTTTAGGGAGGGGCTGGAAATTTCAACCCAACTCAGCTTTACTTCTCAATTGGAGAGGTTCCTGGACTCCTTTAACTTTAATCATATTGTGCCCACGAGGCTTGGTGATGAATATAGTCTTATTTGTGACCTAATCCATATTGCACAGAAGTGGGAACTAGGGCTGGAAGAGTTCAGTTCATCATTTTGGTTCATTTCCCTGTGTCCATAGAGAATTTTTTAGTTTAACCTGATTCTGAAGGTTAAAAGCACTGAGACTACCTTAATTCTGACATTGTATTGCTTGGTAGCTGGGAAACTTTATGAGTGGTCTTTGAGATGAACTAGCATTTGGTGGTCAGTAACATAGGACACAATGTGTCAGTTATATAGTCATCCTAATTCTTCACCTCCATAGGATGGAGCCGTTTTCTTTTGTTTTGTTTTTTTTTGAGACAGGGTCTTGCTGTGTCGCCCAGGCTGGCCTTGAATTTATGATCATCCTGCCTCAGCTTCCTGAGTTCTGGGATTATAGGCATGTGCCACAACACTCTTTAAAATTACAACAAAGATTTAACTTTGCAAATGGTCCTCCAGCTCTGCATGGGAGAGATGAGGAAGAGGAAAAAAAACCTTTCTGGCTAGATCAAGAAAGTAGTGATCTGAATAGAAATGTAAATTAGAGCAAGCAGCCTTTTTCCCACAATGACATTGAAACAGTCTGGCTTGTTTGTATACAAGTGCTGCCATGACACAATGCTGTCACATGGTAGGAGAACAGTGAAGTCCCACAGATTAGGGGAGAGAGGAAGCGGTATGGGAGGTGGAGCTGGCCCTTCTTGCCCCAGCATCTCCCTGGAAACCGATTGCATCAAGCAAGCTCTAAGTGGGCAGACTGAGCACTGGCCACTAAGAAGGACAAGCGTGTGTTCCCAGCTTCTGAAACTTTCCCCTGCACTCATTGATGGATGACACTGGGGCCATGA